TGTGTGGAGAGCATTCTGTACACATTCTCTCATTTTCTGAAGAGTAGACTGCTAGTAGAAGTCTTTATATAAAAGACCCTTCGGTTCATCGTCCCTCTGCGTAAACATGCTCTCCGCCCTTTTGCCGACATAATCGAGAGGAAAATACGTTTCGGCTCGTATACGGGGAATTCAATCCTTCTTAGGGTGAGATAGGAAGCCCTCGCGGGTGCCTTGCAATAAAGATGTTTCTTATATTTTCAACATGTGACTTGATCTTATATTATTATATCCCAGAGAGATATAAAAGAAAGAGGGGGGAAAGGAAGGAATGTTCCCTCGAGAAAAAAAGAAATCTTATCACTCGTTACGTTTCTGCGTTAAAACAAATCTCTTCTATCGACTTTTAAAGGTTGCAAAAAAATTGTGCAACAGTCTCTAATAAATATAGTTAATTAATATTAATAGTCTCGCTTACAAGTCTCGAGTAAGTAAAGTTATTGTCTATCAATTTTCAAAGATGCAGGTCCAAGTCAGATCGCAGGAAATATCTGCGTGAGATCCTTTCGCATCTCCCGCGGGAAGAGGATCAAAGACGTTAGGACTTTACCTATCCCAACGACGAGGGAGAAGACAAGCTGGATTTATAAGATGGCAGCCGATTTCTTTCGAGCCGGTCGGGCCGAACGTATGAGAAACTTTCTCCGCGATTATCCGCTTTCCTGTTTCATCCCCGAGGATTTTGCCAACTGTTATCCCGATATCCGGGGCGATCCCCTTTAAGGAACGCTTTAAGGAACAACTTGGCAACGAGTCCGAGATGAATGTTACAAGAGGAATGTTCGAACGCGCACGTTCTTTGAAACCGCCCGCACAAAGATCCTTTTCCGTAAAAATTACTATCAAAATTTCGATCTGCCACGTACAGAATTCGACGCGGGAGCATTATATGTGAAACGTGCATGGACATCGGATTCGGTGTTTGTCGGACGAAAAAAAAAAAAAAAACGCAAGGAATTAAGTATTGGAAAAATTGTCAAAAGCGAGTCATATGGTGGCCAGCGTGTAATTAGACAAACGGTCGTCTCGCAGTACGCTTTTGTGTTTAATCCCTATTCACAACAAAAGAACTTTTAGTGCTTTTTCATTCGTGAAATCCCCCGACGTGCACAGATGAACGTGTACGTCTTTCAAAAGTAATTAAACTCAAAATTAGTACGATCGTATGAGTGAAATCGCGGCCCGAGTGAAATTGCCATTCAATTGCATTTCAACAGCTCAGAGAGCATTTCATCAAGATTCTGACCAAATTAATTACGACTAAACGAAAAAAAACTTTTTTTTTAAAGCTCAATATACTTATGCATATAGCCAGCCGTCGGATTTCAATATTAATAAAAATGGATTGATAATGACGCGTTGAGCGGATGTTTCGATAATAAAAACATAATGCTGAATAATATAATATTTCGACAATAGTGATAATAATATATTTACGTTCATTCCATATTGGTTGTACAACGGGCAAATGAAATATGCATTTCATGCATGATGCAGAACCCTTTTTCCACGATCAGTCCATTGACCGACTCGCACTTGCCGGGCTATGGCCGCATCGGATTAAATTCCCTCTCAAAGAGAAAGCAAATCGGTATAGATTTTTATTCCGATCCCCCGAGAGTGGTTTGAAGTTACGCGGCAGCCGACGCGAAAAACGATCTCCACGATAATACGTAAGACAGAACACGTCGAGAATTACGATCCGCCCTGTCGCTGGCACGCTACCATGCCTGCTCGCATCGTCGAGTAGGTATTTTTTCCCAGAGCCATCCCTCTTTATGCGGAAATTTTTCTCCGGGTCCAACGCATTTTTCGCAACTCTTGATCCCGCCTTGGCGCGCGAACGCGTGACAATGTAAATCCAATGGCGAAATTCGAGCGTGAGACTCGCGGCTCTTTAACGAAGAAATAATGTGAAATATTACCGAGGTAAAAAATTCCTTTCTCGGAGAAATGATTTTCTTTTCCGACGGTTTCTTGTGATATGAAACGTTGGAAATCTGCGCGCGCGCGCGCGCGCGTGTGTGTGTGTGTGTGTGTGTGTGTGTCATGATTTCGCAATCGCGATGCTATTCCAGACTCATAATGTCAAAGCTAGGACGTGTAATGAGGAAGAAGAGAGAAAAGTATCCCGGAAATAATCACCGCCGTGCGAAGTAATATCTCGCGGAAGGACTTATCGCAATTATCAGGCGGACAGTTCCCGTGATTCAATTAATTATCAGACGGTCCGAGCGGGATATTACCGCGCCGTGGCGAAGAACCATTTCCCCGACAGAACATCATGTTGTTCCTTAACAGTTTGAAATTCGCCGTGGTTTTCACAGGCGAAACTTTCGGATTCAATTTGCGGCGTAAAAACTTACGGTGCTATCCCCGCTATACTTGCTTGCTAAGTAGCTTACGGGGGCTCTTTTATTAACGGAAATCGATTATTGTCACCCGCAAAGTATTATTACAAGATCGGCAAGAACGAGACTGTCGATCGTTTTGATTTCGTGCAGCTAGAGAATATTCGCTTCGCCGAATATTATCGGGATAAATTATAACTGGTAATATATTACTCCCTCTCCGACAGTTACGTCAGCCATATCCTGTGATGTTTATTAAATATCACTTATATAATATATTTATTGTATAAATATAATTTTTTTAAATTTATTAAATTTTTTTGAAAGTATAAATATAATTTTTTATTTCAATGGCGTTGATTAGATAACAATCAATTCGAGTGTCGTTTAGCGCCCCAAAGACGTGTAAGGTTTGAGATGCAAATAATGAAATGGACTACAAAGTATATTACAGCATTCTTCAAACTATTAAGAAACAAGTCGTAAGATTATTTCAATTACCAAGTATAGCGTTTACGAGACAAAGTCCTGATTGAAGCAAACGTTGTTACAAAACTTTTAATTACAAATCCCCGGGGAAGCTTTCGCGAAACGATCGGCTGAGAATCGCTGACGTAGATGATATAGGTTGCTAGCCTCGAGGTGCAATTCCAAATTATCGCGGGGGTGAGGGGACGGGGGGAGGGATAAATATATAGCGATGAACAAGGGGCGCGTCCAATCTTCCCCAGTTAATCGTCCCGAAGAAACAACCTCGTCAGGTCCTCTATTCCATCGGTTTAGCCGGAAATCCATTTACGTAGACATCGTCTTTCCGCTTGCGGAATTTTATCGGTATAATGGCGCGCGGAGCCTAATCTATCCGGTAGCCTCGTATAAAAGTCGCTTTTTGTCATCGGGCGTTACTCGCTTCTGATCCTACGAGCCTTCGGTTTGCTGGCTGATCCTTCACCTTCGAGCAAAGAGCCGTAATGACCTCGTTTCTTTTCGTGTTCTCGCGCGCTGGCGATGTCGGTAAATCGCCGTTACGCGTTCTTTACGACAAGATAAACGACTTAGAGGAATAAAGTCCGGCTTATTCGTTATTCCCATCTTATGTCAACAGATGAAATAAAAGTACAATGACGTACGAAATAATGCGAGCTGAGAGACTAAACAAAGATTCCTAACTAATTACACAACAAATCGCTTATCGTGTGCTTGTTGCTATAAATTAATATATTTTGTAGTTAAATTATATATTTCTAGTACAGATGTAGCATTTCAAGTAAACTTCGCGCGATTGTTCTGATATTAAATGAGAACAAAACTCGTGTAATATGTCATTCTTAACGTAAATGTAAAAACAACGGATCTTTTCCCTCTCATTTGACTCTTAATTAGAGATGAAGCTTCCAAAGTCGTGCTCATCCAAGAAAAAATGAAGAGAGAGAGAGAGAGAGAGAGAGAGAGAGAGAGAGAGAGAGAGAGAGAGAGAGAGAGAGAGAGAGAGAGAGAGAGAGAGAGAGAGAGAGAGAGAGAGAG